TAGAAAAGGAAAGAAAGGAATCAAAATAGTACACTACAAAATTACAGCAAAACACCACAAAAAAAAAAAGCAGTAATGGAAGAACTGAGGAACAAAAACATATAAGACATACAGAAAGAAAATAGCTAAATGGCAGAAATAAATCTTCTTTTATCAGCAATCACATTAAATGTAAGTGGATTAAACACTTTTATTAAAAAACAGAGATTGGCATTTTGGATTAAAAAAATAAGATCCACCTATAAGCTGCCTCACTTTAGATATAAGGACACAAAGGTTGAAAGTTAGAAGATGAGAAAAAATATATTTCCTGCAAATAGTAACCAAAAGAGAATGGGAGTGGCTATTTTATTGAGTAACCAAAAGAGAGCAGTGGTGGCTTATTATTGTAAAACAAAATAGACTTTAAATAAAAAAGTTTACAAGAGAAAAAGAAGAACATTAGGTACTAGTAAAAGGTTCAATACAACAAAAATATAACAATTATAAGCATATATACACCTAACAACAGAGCCAAAAAGATATGAAGCAAAAAAATTGAGAATTGAGGGAGAAATAGGCAGTTCTACAATAACAGTTGGAGACTTCAATACCCCACTTTCAAGAATAGAAAGAATAACCAGACAGAAGATCAGTAAGAAAATGAAGACTTGAACAACACTATAAACCTGTTAGACCTAAAAAACATAAACAGAATATTCTACCCAACAACTACAGAATACACATTCTTCTCCAGTACTCAGAAACATTCTCCAAGATAGACCGTATGTTAGGCCACAAAACAGAAGATTTAAATCATATAAAGCATCTTTCCTCATCACAATGGAAGGAAACTAGGTATCAATAATAGAAGGGAAACTGGAAAATTCACAAACATGAGGAAATTAAACACACTCTTAAACAACCAATTTGTAAAAGGAGAAATTAGAAAACACCTTTAGATGAATAAAAACGAAAACACAACATACCAAAACTTATGGCATGCAACTGAAGCAGTGCTAAGAGGAAATTTATAGCTGTAAACACATTAAAAAACAAGAAATATTCCAGATCACTAACCTAACTATACATCTTAAGAATCTTGAAAAAGAAGAGCAAACAAAACACGAAGCCAACAGAAGGAAGAAAATAATAAAGATTAGAGTGGAGATAAATGAAATAGAGGATAGAAAAACAATAGCGAAAAAGAACTAACCCAAAAGTTGGTTCTTTGAAAAGAACAACATAATTGACAAACCTTTAGCTAGACTGACCAAAGAAAAAAAAAGAGAGAGAGAGAGAGAAGACTCAAATTACTGCAATCAGAAATGAAACTGGGGATACTGCTACTGATTTTACAGAAATCAAAAGGATTATAACAGAATACTATGAACAATTGTATGCTAACAAATTGGATAACCTAGATGAAATGGACAAATTCCTAGAAGCACACAAACTACCAAAACAGATTCAAGAATAAATAGAAAATCTGAACAAACCTATAACAAGTAAGGAAATTGAATCAGTAATCAAAAACTTTCCAAGAAAAAAAATCCCAGGACCAAGTGGCTTCACTGGTGAATTCTACCAAACATTGAAATAGGAATCAACACCAGTACTTCTCAAATGCTTTCAGAAAAATAAAGAGAGAAAACTTGCTAAATCATTCTATGAGGTCAGTATTACCCTGTTACCAAAGCCAAATAAGTACATTACAAGAAAAGAAAACTACAGACCAATATCCCTTATAATATAGATGTGAAATTCCTCAAGAAAATACTAGCAAGCTGAATGCAAAAGCATATTAAAAGGAATAAATACCACTAGCAAGTGGGATTTATTCCCAGAATGCAAGGTTGGTTCAACATACAAAAATGATATACACCACATTAATACAGTAAAGGAAAAAAAAAAAACACACTATCATCTCAATTGATGCAAAAAAAAAAAAATTGGCAAAATCTAAAACCCTTTCATGATGAAAACAGTCAATAAACTAGGAGTAGGAGGGAACTTCTTCAACATGATAAAGGCCATATATGAAAAACCCACAGCTTACATTATACTAAATGGTGAAAAACTGAGCACTTTTCCCCTAAGATCAGCAACCAGATAAAGATGCATACTTTTGCCACTTCTGTTCAACATAGTACTGGAAGTTCTAGCCAGAGCAATTAGGCAAGAAAAAGAAATAAAAGTCATCTAAATTGGAAAGGAAGAAGTAAAATTATTTCTCTTTACAGGTAATATAATATAATATGTATAAAACCCTAAAGAATCCACACAAAAAGAACTGTTAGAGCTAATAAACAAATTCTCCAAAGTTACAGGATATAGAATGAACAAAAATCAGTTGTGTTTCTATACACCAACAATGAGCAATCTGAAAAGGAAATTAAGGAAACAATTCCATTTTCAATAGCATCAAAAAGTGTAAATTAGGAACAAATTTAACTAACAAGGTGAAGACTTATATACTAAAAACTACAAAACATTGCTAAAAGAAATTAAAGAAGACCTAAATAATTGGAAAGACATCCCATGTTCTAGGACTGAAAAACTTAATATTTTTAAGACAACAGTACTGCCCAAAGCAATATACAGATTCAATGCAGTCCCTATCAAAAGACCCAATAAAGTTTTTTTTTCAGGAATAGAAAAACCCATCCTAAAATTCATATGACCCCAAATAGCCAAAACAATATTGAAAAAGAAAGACAAAGTTGGAGGGCTCACACTTCCCAATTTCAAAACTTATTACAAAGCTACAGTAATCAAAACAGTATGGTACTGGCATAGGGTAGACATATAGAACAATGGAATAGAATAGAGAGCCCAGAAATAAAACCTCACATATATGATCAATTGATTTTTGACAAGGATTCCAAGACTAGATATCCATATGCAAAGAAATGAAGCTGGACCCTTACTTTACACCATATATAAAAATATACTCAAAATGGATGTATGACCTAAACCTAACAGCGAAAAATACAAAACTCTTAGAAGAAAACATAGGGAAAAATCTTCATGACCTTGAATTTGGCAATGGATTCTACGATATGACCCCGAACGCACAGGCAATAAAAGAAAAACCAGATAAATTAGATTTCATCAAAATTAAAACACTTTTGTTCATCAAAGGGCACTATCAAAAAACTGAAACAACATGCCACAAAATGGGAGAAAATATTTGTAAATCAAATATCTGGATAAGGGACTAATATCCAAAATAGGCAAGAAAATCCTATAACCCAACAATAAAAAAACAAACAATCCAATTTAAAAACGGGCAAAGGATTTAAATAAACATTTCTCCAAAGAAGGTATATAAATGGCTAATAAGCACATGAAAAGATGCTAAACATCACTAGTCATTATCCACTGCCGACTCATAGTGACCCTATAGGACAGAGTAGAGCTGCCCCGTAGGGTTTCCAAGGAGCAGCTGATGTATTTGAACTTCCGACCTTTTGGTTAGCAGCCAAGCTCTTAACTACAGTGACACCGGGGCTCCCATTAGTCATTAGGGAAACAGAAATTAAAACACCAATGAGATACCACTTCTTACCCACTAGTATGGCTGCTATAAGAAAAACAGAAAGTAACAAGTATTGCTGAGGATGTGGAGAAATTGGAATTCTTGTACATTGCTATTGGGAATGTAAAATGGTGCAGTTACTGTGGAAATAGTTCGGCAGTTCCTCAAAAAGTTAAACATAGAATTACCATATGACCCAGAAATTCCACTCCTACGGATATACCCAAAAGAACTGAAAGCAGAAACTCAAGCAGATACCTGTATGCCAATGTTCACAGCAGCATTATTCACAATAGCTGACAGGTGGACACAATCCAAGTGTTCGTCAGTAGATGAATGGATAAACAAAATGTAATATATGCATACAACGGAATATTATTCAGCTATAAAAAGGGATAAAATGCTACAATGATGAACCCTGAAAACATTATGGTAAGTGAAATAAGCCACACAAAAGGACATATATTATATGAGTCCACTTATCTCTAAGTAAAACAGTGGTTACCAGGGGCTGGGGGGCGGAAGGAATGAGGAATTACTGCTTAACGAGAACAGAGTCTCCGTTTGGGATGAATGGAAATGTTCTGGAAATAGACAGTGGTTACACAACATTGTCAAGTACTTAATACCGCTGAACTGAGCACTTAAAAACAGTTAAAATGGTAGATTTTACGTTGTGCATATTTTTCCACAATAAAACTAAAAAATGGGGAAAAAAGAAAAATAGGATATTTTGGTGGAAATTATAAGCTGATTCCAACATTTTTCTGGAAATCCAAAGGGTAAATAATAGCCAAGACAACCTTGAAAAATAAAGTTGAAAGACTTATACTACCAGATACCATGACTTACTATAAAGGCGTAATAATTAAGACATCGTGCTTGGTAAAGTAGAGGGTTAGCAAAAAAACAGGAACACCCTCAACGAGATGGATTGACACAGTGGCTGCAATAACGGGCGCAAGTACAACGATGGTGAGGATGGCGCAGAACTGGGCAGTGTTTCGTTTTGTTGTACAGAGGGTCATCATAAGTTGGAACTGACTCGACGACACCTACCACCACCAACAATAACAACAATCAAGACCCTGTGGCACTGATAGACAAAGGGTATCGGTTCCAGTCAGGACTCACAACCACACTAGCGTCTATCTTGTCATGAGCACGCGCCTGAGTATCTCAGTCTCCGTGTTTTACTTTTGAACACGAGGAACCTTTGAGGGTCTCTGTTGGTCTCTACTGTGTATCCCCAACATCATCTGCTCAGGGCCTGGCTCAGAGTGGGCACCAGGGGATTCTTGCTGACTGAACATCTGAACAAACCCGTGAAGAGATCCCTTCCTACACAGGCTGACTGTCAAGGCTGGTGAGCTGGGAGACAGAGCCTGACAATCTGTCGGAGGGTGAACCCCTAGCCCAGATGGGCACAGGAAGGAAAGCCTGGGTGAGGGACAAAGGCGGGGCTGGCACCCTGGTCCTGTCACCTGTAGATGGAGGCCAAGGGGCAGGTGAGCCACATGCTGTTGGTCAACTTGCTCAGCTGGTACGAGTCAAAGATGAAGTAAGGCTGGTTGATTTCCTTGATGGGGTTGCAGGGTACAAGGCAGGATTCCACCTGTAGTTCAGGCTGCATGAGTCTGGATTCCACCTTCTCCTGTCCCAGATAGAGCCTGCAAGGCAGGGGTTTTTCCAGCGGCTCCTCCTGGATGTAGCAGTACCCCAGGCGTTTGCGCTCACCAGGCTCCCCACAGCGGTTACAGTCCTGCCAGGGCTCCCAGTGGGTGAACATGAGTACCCTGCCACCCAGGTCCAGGGTCTCATTCTGTAGGGGCTTTTGGCCCAGGTCTTTGTGTGTAATATGCAGGTTGGTGACATCCTGGAAGTCAATCTCATACTCTACCACGAGAGCATTGTCATTGTCCTGGCAGCTGTAAAGGCCTGTCTGGGAGGGTTGTGGGTTGGTCAATTGTAGGCCACCCCCAGGCAGTTTCTTTATGTTGGGCATTGAGGAGAGTAGAAGGGTATCCTCCTCCAGAATGGAAGAGAAGTACCAAAGTGCCCTGGGGTGGTCACACTGCAAGACAACATCATTACCCGAGAGTAGCGACAGCTGGCAGAGACTCTTGTAGGCACAGCTGATTAATACATGGGCCCCCAGAGTGGGGAGAGAAAGGCTAAGCAGCCACAGGATGGCCATCATGGTGGACAGGTGCTCCAGCAGGAGGAAAGGAACCGCCCTGGGCATTGTGAAGTCATCCACAGAACTCAGCCGTCAGCCCTGTGTAGTGGAATGAATGTTTGTCCACTGCACCTTCAGGAGTGCTACTCCATCCATGTCATCAAATAGCTTGATGTAAGGTCAACAACGCTATCCACAGGATAGCCACAGGAGCCGGGCAAAAAACCAGGGACTGACCCTAAGTCAACAAGTAAACCAAAAAGCCAAGTTATGTGTCCGCCACAGACCCAACATACAATGGTGGAAAGGGATAAAGTGGCTTCATGCCCACCAGAAAGTGGAAGAAGGGGAGAAATACAGCAATCACTGATCTGTACCTGTTCTAAAATCCAGTGGGCAGACCTTCTAAAACCAAACTCGTTGCTGTCAAGTCGATTCTGACTCATAGCGGCTCTATAGGACAGAGTAGAACTGCCCCTATAGGGTTTCCAAGGAGTGGCTGGTGGATTCGAACGGCTAACCTTATGGTTAGCAGGCTGAGCTTTTAGCCACTGTGCCACCAGGGCTCTGGGTAGACATTAAAGGTCTCCTGTCTTGCGGTTGGGAAAGAGTTCCTTAATTAGCTCCAAATCTGCTCCTTTGGGTGGTGGGGGAGGGGACTTTCCAAACACGTTTTCTCTATGGCACATGGCTCCACTCTCCAGGGAGATCTCTTCCTTTCCTCCTTGGCCACATCACAAATAGCATTGAAAGATATGCCTTCCTGGGCATCTCAGCAATTTTCTCGGCACGTTTCCAGAAGTTTGGGGCCACGGATTCTTACAAACCTCCAGTCCACTCCATGTGTGAAACAGCATCCACAGTTATGTTCCAGATCGCTCTCTCTCTCAAACTGCAGGTACCTTAACGTGTATCAGACATCTTTGGAGAGCCATATCTTTCATCTCTGTTTCAATGAGCCATTTTGTCCACCTTTAAGGATTTCCTGGGATTGTCTAAATTCATTCAGAGATTTTAACAATAGTTAATAATAATGATTTAACCAGTGGAGCAATTCTACTCTATAACACACGGGGTCGCCATAAGTCGGAATCAACGGAACAGCAACCAACAACAACAACACACTCTTGATTTTCTCATTGTCTAAAGCTGAATTTTAATTGGCTTTTGTCTCTCAAAAGCCTTCTCAATTTCCAGCCAACTTTGGGCAATACTCACTCCTGATGTTCTGTATTCCAGCCGGTTCCCCTAAAGCTATAAGTTCATTAAGTACATTATATGCCTTCCAAAGCGTGTCAAGCAACAGTCTTCATCCTTCTGACTCCAGATAAGTTTCCTTTTTCCTATTGTCCTGTGTCTAAGACAATGTCGTGTGTTTTTGTTTTTATTACAGCAGTGCCCCACTCCTGATACTAATTTATGTATTAATCAAGATAGGCTAGGATTTGCTACTATAATAAACTTCCCCAAATCTCATAACTTAAAACAACAAAAATGTATTTCTCACGTGCTCTATGTCCTTTGTGAGTTGACATTATAATCACTTAAGGACCCAGGTTGATGGAACATTGCCATCTCGAACATTTCTAATGTCATTCCAGAGGAGGAAGAAAGAGAACTCTGTAAGGTTTCATGTCTACAATTAAATACTCTACCTTAGGTGACACATGTCACTTGCTCCCAAACAACTGGCCAGAATTAGTTACATGGCACCACCACCCACCAAAAAAGGAAATGAAATTTTACTATTTCCAGGAAACATTTGGTAAAGGACAGTAATGATTAAAACAGCTAATATCTGTTATAAGGAGTGCTTCCTCTGGTATGTCCCTGTTTGAGGCTGGGTTCTCTAGAGGAGCAAAACCAGTGAAGTGTATATATAAATAGAGAGAGAGATTTATTTCAAGGAAATGGCTTACACAATTGTGGAAGCCAATGTGACAAGCCATTAACAAGTCCCAAGTCAATGGGGCAGGTGGCAGGTGGCAGGCTGGAGGCTTCTCCTGACTCACATGGTTTCAGGGGCTGACAAATACAAAATCTGCAGGTCAGGCAGCAGCCTGAAACCTTCTCCATCCCAAGAACTGGAGGTCAGAGGATGACAAGATGAATGCAGGATCGAGAGAGGGAACTTTGCCAGAACATTCGTTTATATTATGGGTGCAGGCCACACCCCCAAGGAAACTCCTCTTCCAATTGATTGGCTGCTCACATCAGATCACAAAACGGGAGGTGATACATAGTGTTTACCAAACCACTGAGAGTTATAGCCTAGCCAAGTTGATACATAACATTAACCATCACACTCCCTTTATATTAGAAAGTTAAAACCATTTTCAAAATCCTCCCATCAGATTTCTCCTAAAGTCCCACTGACCAGTATTGGGTCCCATGCCCAGATCCAAGCCTATCCCTGAAAGGGAAAGAAATTTCCATGAATGTCTTAAACCAATCAGAATTTGTTCCCTAGGGATGTGGAAGGGTAACCTTCTCTGATCAGAGACGCCATTGAAGACCCAAACAAAATCAGGGCATGAAGGAGCGATGTAGAAGAGAATGGTTACCTAGTATAACCAGCCTGGTCTGCCACAGTATCCAACTGATGGGAAAGATCAGGATTGAGCTATGTGATCTCGGGTGAGTTGATGATATTTACTAAACCTCAGTTCCCTCATATGTAAAATAGGGACACAAGAACTCTCCATCATCAAATAGCGTTGTTAAAAAACTTTCAAGAGATTATTCATGTCAAATTCTTAGCACAGTCTAGGCTTGGGATATGACAGTGGTTAGGAAGGTGGGAATACAGCCCAGTGGTTTCAGTCCTAGGCTCTGGGATCAGTTTCATCCTTTGATCCACCAAGTATTAGAGTAATTTGGGCCCAGTGACTTCACCTGCCTGTGCTTCTCACATTCAACTTACTCCACAAATATTTATAGATCACCCACCTTGCACCAAGCACTAAAGATCCAGGCCAAATCTCTGCTCTCTTGGAGCTTATATTTTAGTGGGGATGTATTAGCTAGGATAAGTTTGGTTATGCTGTGTAACAAAAGAATTCTGGAATCTCAGTGGCTTAACTTTCTTTTCTTTTTTTTTAATCATGCTACATTTTCAGTGTGGGATGGTGAGATCTTTACCCTACAAAGTCCCTTCAGAGGCTAGGGCTGATGGAGGCTGTACCACCTGCAACATCATTAGTCGCTATGGCAGGAGAAGGGAAGATAGTGACTGATACACTGGCAATTAAATGCTTTCGCTTGGAAAGGACCCACATCACTTTTTCTCACAGGCCATTAACTAGAATTAATCTCACAGTCAGCCTAACTGCAGAGGGGCTGGGAAATGTAGCAGAACACATGGAATATTTGCTGAGCAATGTTGTCTTCGCCTTAGGGGAAGGCAGACGGTAAACAAATAAATGACTAATAAAACGTCAGATTAAAAAAAAAACAAAACTGCTGAAATAGACTAAAGAAGACCTCAATAGATGGAAAGATGTTCCATGCTCATGGATTGGAAGACTTAATATTGTTAAGATGTCAATACTACCCAAAGCGATCTACAGATACAATGCAATCCCAATCAAAACTCCAACGGCACTCTTCACAGAAATGGAAAAACTAACCCTCAGTTTTATATGGAAAGACAAGAGATCCCGAATAGCCAAAGCAATTTTGAAGAAGAACAAAGTAGGAGGCCTCACTTCCTGACTTGAAAACATATTATACAGCTACGGTAATCAAAACAGCCTGGTACTGGTTTAATGGTAGACGCATATACCAATGGCACAGAATTGAAGATCCAGAAATAAATCCAAACATCTATGGTTAATTGATTTCAACAAAGATGCCAAATCTATTCAGTGGAGGAAGGAACAGTCTCTTCAACAACTGGTGCTGGCAAAACTGGATTTCCATATGCAGAAAAAACAAAGCAAGATCCATACCTCACACCATACACAAAAACTAATTCAGAATGGGTAAAGGACCTAAATATTAAATCTAAAACCATAAAGTTCTTGGAAGAAAATACAGAAGCACATCTTTGGGACCTAATTTTTTTCAACAATAGATTATCAAACACGACAACAAATGCATGAGCAACAGAAAACAAAATAGATAACTGAGACCTCATAAAAGTTAAATACTTATGCTCATCAAAAGACTTAATCAAAAGAGTAAAGAGACAACCTACCAACTGGGAAAAATATCTTTGGGAACAATATAACTGATAAGGGTCTAATGTCTAAAATATATAGAAAACCTTCACAACTTAACAGCAAAAAAAAAAAAACAAATAACCTAATCAAAAATTGGGCAAAGGAGATGAACAGACACTTCACCAAAGAGGATATTCAAATGGCCAACAGGCACATGACAAGATGCTCTATTTCATTAGTTATTGGAGAAATGCAAATCAAAACCACAATGAAATACCATTTCATTCCCACTAGGATGGCCAAGAAAAAATAGAAAATAACAAGTGTTGAAGGGGATGTGGAGAAATTAGAACTCTCATTAATTGCTGGTGGGAATGCAAAATGGTACAGCCACTGTGGAAAACAGTCTGGCAGTTCCTCAAAAAACTAGAAGTAGAACTGCCACATGACCCACCAATTCCACCCCTAGGTATTTACCCTAAGGATCTAATAAAAGTGATACAAGCAGACATATGCACACCTATGTTCATTGCAGCACTATTCACAGTAGCGAAAAGATGGAAACAAGCTAAGTGCCCATCAACAGAGGAATGGATAAGTAAAACGTGGTACATGCATACAATGGAATACTACTCAGCGATAAAGAAAAATGAGTTTCCAAAATATCTTAGAACATAGATGAACCTGGAGAACATTATATTGAGTGAAATAAGTCAACCACAAAAAAACAAATATTGCATGTTGTCACTTTTATGAAATGGCATGAACAAGTAAATATACAGAAACTAATGTTCATTAGTGGTTACCAGAGATGAGGGGGCTCACTTTCTGGATAGTAGACACTTGTTACTTTTGGTG